TAGGGAGAAATAGTAACTAAGGAACACACCAGATTATGGGAGCGGGGAAGTTAAAAACAAAATGAACAGGGCAGCCCCAGTGGCGCAGCGGTTTGGCGCCGCCTGCAGCCAGGGGTGTGATCCTGGAGACCTGGGATCGAGTCCCACGTCGGGCTCCCTGTGTGGAGCCTGCTTCTCCCTCTGCCTGTCTCTCTCTCTCCTTCTCTCTCTGTGTGTCTCTATGAATAAATAAATAAAATCTTAAAAAAACAAAATGAACATCTTTTAGCAAAGTTTCAGTCTCCTCCCCATGATATCTGGGTGATGGCCTCAGGTGTGGTCCCTGGCCTGTTGTCCTCAGAGCTGTCCTTGCCAGAGACACTGTCCCCTTTCTGCTGTGCTGTTGTCTAGAGGCAGGGCCTGCCTTGGCTGGTGGTCCAGTGCTGGTCTTCTGGCTTCATGGACTCTGCTCAGCAACTCCTTCCCCTCTGCCCTGCCTTACCTTTTACTCCCCACCTGGAGAGAAGGCTGTACACGCTCATATAGAAGAGCTTTAGATTTGTTAGAAGTCACAAAAAATGGATTTAATCTGGTGAAGCAAGAAAGGGAAATTGTTGGCTGGTAATAGGCATTTCAAGGGACACAAAGGTGCTGGTATTTGTGAGTCTGCTGGAGCTGAGGTGTCCTCTCTCTGCTTCCATGAGGCTCCAGGGCACTCCCACCAGCCTTGATTTGACATTGCTCGGTGCCTGTATGATATTCCTGAGACTGGGGTACTCAATCTCCACAAAGTAGGGGCCTTAAAACAGCAGACGTTTATTCTTCAGGAGGCTGGGTGTCTGAAATCAAGGCATCAGCAGGGTTGGCTCTTTGGAGGTTCTGAGGGAGATTGTGTTCTGTGCCTCTCCTAGCTTCTGGGGGCTCCTGGTAATCCTTGGCCTCCTTGATTTGTAGCTGCACCACTTCAGTCTCTGCCGCCTCCTTCTCTGTCTTAAAGGGACACTGGATTTAGGGCTTATAAAGACACTCGTCATTGGATTCAGGGCCCACCCTAATCCAGGACGATTTTGCCTTGAAATCCTTACCTTAATTCCAGCCACAAAGAACCTTATTCCAAATAAGTTCACATTATGAGGTTCTGGTGGACACATCATTTGGGGAGCCACTATTCAACATACTACTCCAACATACTAGCTCCTTTTCTATTTTTTTAATTTTTATTTATTTATTTTTTTATGATAGAGAGAGAGAGAGAGAGAGAGAGAGAGAGAGAGAGAGAGGCAGAGGGAGAAGCAGGCTCCATGCACCGGGAGCCCGACGTGGGATTCGATCCCGGGTCTCCAGGATCGCGCCCTGGGCCAAAGGCAGGCGCCAAACCGCTGCGCCACCCAGGGATCCCACTAGCTCCTTTTCTAAATTCTTGGGAGAGAGGATCTGTCTGTTTAGGGGAACAGGGTCACTGGAGTGTCATTTCTTGGCTGCCTTACACCTGAAGAGCCTTCCTGTGGAGGAATTTGAATGTATGGGCTCCTCCCTCGGCATTCTTGGCAATTGGGGTATGGCCATGTGACTTAAATGGGGTCAGTTTCTTGCCCCACTTGGAACTTGGCTCTGAGCTAGTGACAGTTCAGAGTATACATGTTTTGTGGAAACAACCTGGATGGGCTAGTGGCCAGTGGTAAAAGGTATGGCCAGGAGCCAGTGGGTATCCTGCCCTAGCCTTCTGGTGGGCCTGTCTTTAGTTGTGATTCTGCTACCCATCCCCCATTGCCCCCTATATTCCAAGCCTGGTTCTCTAGTCTTTTCATTGCACAAGAAACCCCATAGTAAGACTTTTCTTAGTAGGGCCCTTTTGCTTGGGTTGGCTAGGTTTGATGTCTGTGGTTTGCTACATAAAACCCCAAGTTAAATGCTCCATTGCCAAAGCATGGAGACTGAGGCAACCCATATACCATATTGCTTGCCTATTCTGGGCCAAGCACTGTGCTAGTTACTGAGTTAACAGGGGTGAAAACCTGGCTGATGGGGGTGATGGGCATGGAGCCTCGTAAGCTTAGGGTTGACCGCTGGCAGAACCCTTGGAGGTTATTCATCTGCACACTGCACCTCATGCCTAAGAAGCAGGTGGATGATTGAGGGGTCTTTTCTCCTGGTTACCCCAGGGATCGCTGGTGGTCAAACTAGAGCCAGACTTAGGAGTCCTTTTAGCCCCAATTCCAGATTTTTCCATCACAGTTAATCAGTAAGTACACAGTGAGCACTTCTTGCATGCTGCCCGGTGCCAGATGCTCTGTGTCGAGTCAGGCAGACTTGTAGTCATGGAGCAGGGGAGATGTGGCCAGCCGGGGAGAAGTGGTCACAGAAGGGTGACCTGCCAGTGGCTGTGAGAAGTACTGAGGGTCCATAGAGGCGGCAGACCTGGAGAGCATTGTGCATCTCCCAAAGGAAAGGGGGTCGTCAAGAAAGGTTTCCTGGCAGAGGAGGACTTGAGAAGACCTTGAAGGATGGATGGGATATGAACAGACAGTTTAAATAGAAGGGGATTATGGGGATGACTGTGGCGGTCAGTCTGGATGGGACTTCTATGGGGTCCCAGTGGGAAGAAGGTAGGAGACAGTTGTGATGGGCTTCAAATGGCCATGGTAGCCTTCTTTCTTCCTCTTTGTCTCATTCTCCTTTTGCTTTTTCTGAGCAGGGCTATCACAGTTGGTCCAGTGGTTCACTGCACAAGAGCATCCAGTGCAAGTGGAGGCTAAATTCCAACCTCTCTACCATGTGCCAAGCCATGTACTGTGATGTGGGATTGCATCTTCCCAGAGAGGTGTCCTATTTAAATGTGCCCAAAGGTACCTTGTGAGCTAGCAGTGGCTCTGTGCTCTCTCCTGCATGTGTCCCACTCCTCTGCCTGAGCCATGGTTACCTGACTGGGCAGGCATCTGAGCCTTCCCCTGTCTGCTCTGGCTCTTGGGCAAGTACACCTCCTCCCTGGACATTAGTGCTTGCCCACTTTGCTTTTCATAAGTGCATCTGAGGCTTGGGTGGATGAGTGGGGCTGTCCTGCAGGTGACCCACTGAGGATGGCACTGAGCCCTGGGAGAATGAGAATGAGATGTTGGCTTAGGCTCCCATGTGTTCCCTTTGAGGCTCAGAACTCTCCCTTCCAAAGAAAGTCTGAGAAGCTTCTCCTGCCCACCAACTCCCTTGGAGGCTAAAGGGATGTACAGAGCACATCTGTGGAAGCCCTCATTCCCAGAGCACATTAGGATGCTATCTGGGCAGGCAATAAATCTGGCCCCAGCAGGCACCGAGGTGGCAAGGCTGCACCAGGTGTTCTGGCTGCCTGATGTGTAACCCATCCAGCTGCCAGTCTGGGTGGGGAGATAGATGTTCCAAGGGACTGGATGTGGTCCCTGAGGTGGTAAGGATGATGGTGGACCCTCGCCCAGATGTTCTCATCAGAATCTGGAAATATGGATCAGATGCTGAAGTGGTGATTGATACTTAGAGCCTCTGTTTGCCCCTCATATTGGAATAAATGCCTTGCTTTAGCATCCACCCTTCGATCCTGTGCTGACCTAAGCCCATGAGGCTGAGCAACATGCATCTGTGACAGCTCCAAGTGATGCCAAGACTGGGGCTTCTCTGGTTTTGCTTGGCTGTGTGACCACTGGGGGTGTAGAGGGGAGATGAGGATCTCTGGGAGGGATGCTGGGGCTGGAAAGGGCATGCCTCTTCCAGGCAGCTCTGGAGGTCTACCTCGAGGCCACTGTGGAACCAACAGGGAGGTGACTTCAGTCCCTTACTGAGAGGACCTTTCTGATGTCAACACCCAATGATGGAACCAGCCTGCTGGAGACATGGGAGGAGAGGCTTTCAGGGTTGAGCAAGGCATCTGATGTTTCCAGGATATTTTGAGATTCTTGGTGGTTTTTTTTTTTTTTTGCTTGTTTTAAGCAAAGAAAGGCCAAAATAGGAGAAAATAGTGGCCAATTATAAAGGTTTATCTGCAATAAATTAATGTGGTCAGCATACACAAATACAAAGCTGTCTGTGCTGTTCACCAAGACAATTTCAGAATTTTAAAACATTTTTATTTATTTTTTAAGCAATCTCTACACCCATCATGGAAGCTCAAACTCATGACCCCGAGATCAAGAGTTACATGATCTAGTAACTGAGCCAGCCAGGCCCCCAGACAATTTCAGAATTTTAAAAAGACCATCAAGTAATCACGTGTGCAGGCATGGAAATGCAGGGATAGGAACAGATTTAAATTTCTGGGGGCACATCTTCTTCCTGTAGCTTTGTCAGTGATTCAGTGACCATGCATGTGACTTCATTTGGAGTTAGTACCCACAGCCTTTGGCCCTTTTGTGGACATGAAGCTGAGCCAGATGGCTTTCTTGCCACCCTCCCTTTCAGTTTTCAGAAACACATATGCCTGACATTGAACAAACTGTCTTTTAGAGAAGCTGCTTCAGGAACGAGGCTGAGGGGTTAGTGTCCTGTAATTCCAAGTGCTGGTATGATCATCTGAATGTGTTGGATGGGGCGGGAGGAAGGACATCATCACATTCCACACTTTTCTCCTAAACAGTTTCAGTTGAGATTTATCATTCCCCATCCATACCAATTGTTAGACAGAATATTAATTTCAAGAGTGCTGTGGCATCTACATGTAGATCTGGATTTTGTTACAGGTGATCTCCTTCTCCTTCTCCTTCTTCATGGTATACATGAACTGTCAGATGCCATTTAGGGTAAGAGAGGTGAAGGGTGTTGGTGCCTTACTCAGCCACTCATCCATCCGGGTCTTGGACACCAGGCCGTGCAGTGCACCGAGTTTATAAGGCAGATTTTTTGCACAAAGCAGAGCTGTTCGAGGGCCACCCTTTCCAAACCATCCCAACTATCATCATCTAGTTCTTTCTGGGGCTGTGGGGAGGGATGGCATTGGTTTGCTGGGTGGCATTTTAGAAAGAAAACACTGTAATCTTTTTTTTTTTTTTTTTTTTTTTTAGAAAAAAGGAAGAAAAGGGTGCAGTTACTCCCGAGGAAGCAACGAAGGATGATGTTGGACAGAGAGGCACACAGTAAATCCTTTCACTCTGTTAAATACACCCGCAGATATGCGTTTCCATCTAAGAGAAGCAGGGTCGGGGTGGGGAGTGGAAAGGAGAAACAATTCCCTGTTTTCTTTACTGATGACCCATGACAGTTGTGGAAGGGGGGGCAGGAGGGAGGGGGGAAACGAGGCAGGGGGGGGAACAGAGGCGTCTTTCAGTGACAGAGCAAGGAAAATGGGAAATTATCCATGCTTTCCAGAAATCCGTGGAGGCCCCCTCGGCCCCTGCCCTGCTAAATACAGTGCCGGCTGTATGCATTTCCCACCTCAGAGATGTCTGCTTGAATATTCTGTGGCATTGTATACTGATGTGTTCGGTTGTGTACAATCTGCCTACTTGGGGAATAAATGTTGGCCTCCAGGGGAAGTCCTGGTGCAGATCAACTTCATTCTAGTGCTGTATAAGACATGCCTTCCAAAAAACACATTGGTCAGTTATGCAGCCAGATAAATTCTTTCCATGAGAAATTTTCAAATTCGATTGGTGTTCCCAAGCCTGGTGGTGGGGGACAATCTGTGCTTGGGCTCGCCTAAGGTTTGAAGGGCATTTGTGGTTTGGGCCAGTCTTGGGTGAAACAATGTCCTTTTTGTGCCCAAAGTACAGTCGGGGGAGGCAAATGGGGTGTGCACACTTGTGCAGGGTGGGCCCATAGGGGTGCGGGGCCCTGGACTCAAGAGGGTTTAGGCATTAGGTGCTCAGCCCCCATCAGGCGTGAGGCCTGGAATCATATTCACATCACCTGCATGAGGCTAGAATCAATCCAGAACCTCTTTCAAAGTCTGAGTTTTGCCTTCATAGATTTCTTGAACTCTTCTGGGCTCAGATTTAGAGACAAAACAGAACAGAGGCCCTGATGTTGCTGTCACCAGATTCAGCTCCCCAAATCCAGGCCCCACCTGCCACAGGATATTGCTAAAGCCAAGGTTCATTTTTGTCTGTTTCATGTTTTTAAATCCTTAAGAACATTTCCAGGGGAGATCAAAAACACCCGCCTCACTCTAAGGTGCTTGTGGGTCAAGTGTGGGAAAAATGTGTGAGGATGTTTTCTTCTGTGCCTACAAAAGAAGCCACAGTGAAATTTATCCTAATGGAATTTCACTATCGTTTTAGGGGAGAGAATTCTGAAATAAACAGAATAGAGAAATAGGTGAAGGGTTTCCCTTTTGCTTTTTCTCTTCCTTAATGCTGCGGGCTACATATATTCATGTTGGGTTGGAACACAAATGCATTTTGTTTGTAGTAATTAAAATGTTTTAATGAGACAACCATAAAATCCACCATTAATTATTTTATTTCAAACACTCCTGCCTTCTTTTGAACCAGGTCTATTTAGAAATAGTTTAGAGAGTAGCCTGCAGTTTTATTCTTTCCTCTGCATTATACACAGGAGTGGAGAAGTCATTTATAAATAATTACACAATGTTTTGGGTCTTTGGGCTTGTATAATATATCAAAGCGATTAGTACACTTATTGTTCCATTGTAAATGCTTTTTTTCTCCTTTCAGTTTCACTTGCCTTGTCTTCTGGCTAAACCTTTTTCTGGAAATCTTTTGTCTTCTTCATTCTTTTTGCTTGTTACAGTCCGGGAGCATTCTTCTTATTCAAACACTCGCAGCAGGGGCACAGAATGAGACTTCAGCCGCATCTTAAGTTTTACCGTAACTTTCTGGCATTTTCTTTTCTTCTAGTTTTCCCAGACTACCCAGGGGCAATGAAGAATTATAACATACATGAATTATTGGTACTCCCCTTGAGTTAAAGGGTGGGGGTAGAGGGTGCTTCATTTTCAATGCCCCCCCGCCCCCACCCCCGGGGTCTGAGCGAGCGGGCGGCCGCGAAACAATGTATTTATCACATCGCCCCGTCTGTGGGCCGCGCCCGCGCGCCCCCTCCCGCGCTGCCGCCGCCGCCGCTCCCTTCGCCGAGCCTCGGATACAGGCTCCCAGGCCGGGGCCGGGGTCTCCGTCCGGGCGGCGCGGCCGAGGGGAGCGGCAGGGCCGGGGCCGGGCCGGGGCGCAGCGGGGCGGGCCGCGTGCGGGGATTAGGGCCGCACGAGAGGAGACTGCGCCGCGGCCTCCAGCCACGTGAGGACGGACGGGGCTTCAAAGGTGCCCCCCAGCTAATCCTTGTTATCCGGCGGCGCGCCCGAGCTCCGGCCTGCTGCTCGGGTTGGGCTCCCCCCGCGCGCCCCCGGAGCCCGCCGGCCGGCGGGGCAGCCCGGGGCCAGCCGGCGGGGTTGCACGGCGGGGCGGGGCGGGGGCCTCGAGGGCCAGGGTGCCGTGGCGGGGGAGGCGGGGGGGGGGGGCTCGGGCGCGCGCGGGTGGCGGCGCGCACGGGGCGCTCTCGGGAACAAGTAGCTGGAGGGCAGAGCAGGCCCGGGGGCGCCCCCGCCGCCCGCGCCTCCCGGGGGCGTATCTGAGGCCGGCGCGCGCCCGGCCCGGCCCGCCGCGCCCGCCCGCCCCCGCGCCCGCGCCCCGCGCCCCCGCCGCCAGAGCCGCCGCGCGGCGCAATCTGTCAGGCCCTCGGCCCGTTTCCATATGAAGGGCGCGCCGGGCGCCTTGGGAGCGCTGAAAGGCCGCTCGCGGTCGGGCGGGCGCGCACGCCCCGCGGCCCCGGCTGGATTTGGCCGCATTTGCATAGCAGGTGCTGATGCTTGTCCATTCTTACTTAAAGAAGTTTTAATATGGGATAAATTACCAGGAATTAGGAGCAGGCGTGGGCGGGAATAAAGGGACCGTGTCGCCCGTCTTACCGCCGCCTGGCGCGGGGGAGCAGAGAAATATTAAGTGAGATTCGACTTTAGAAGTCGTCTCCTTAACAAGCTACAATCCAACGCCCCCTCCCACCACCACCACCAAAGAGCCAAGAGAAAACAGGAGGCAACTTGAAGCAATTTGATTTTAGAATCTGTTCTGCAACCAGTAAAGCAACAATCCCAGGGACAGTAATACGATTAGCGATCGAAGATCTTTGAGTCAGAAAGTCCGCTTGAGTTGAAAATGTTAATCCTGACCCTAATCCTCCCTGTTGGCGGAGTAGAGTGCTGTGCCCTGGAGCGTGTGTTTTTTTCCTCTACTCTTAAAGGACCATCAGGTGAGGCCCACGTTGGCCTATTTCTTGATGACAAAGAGGGCACACCGATTTGCCCAAGGCCACAGCCCCCACCATCTCTGGCCAGGGGTGCTGGGCTTCCCTTTCCCCCTAGGAGCCAGCCCCATGTGGCTGTGCTGGCTCCTGTGGCTCATTCCATCTATTTGGACTCTTGCAAAGGCTTAGAGCAAAGTGGATTTTTGAAGAGATGGGATTTTGAAGGAATAGGGTTGGGACAGCTCATCCACCCGGCCTGGTCTCCTAGCCTCCTTTAAGTCAGACCCTGGGGTGTCCTCTTCAAATGGATGGCTGGTTTTCAGGTTGTTGGGGACTAGAGAACGGTTGTGGCTGCCTCACACTCTATCCTGCCAGATTGTGGGTCTGCTTATCATATTTGTGGGGGAAATGCCTGGGGTCTGGGACCCTAGTGGGATCTCCACATACTTGGGGGACTGAGTAGGGGTCACAGTGAAGAATGGGTAGATCAAGCATGAGCACTGCCACCCCAGGACTCTCCACACCAGGATTCAGCCAGACATGCTATCCTAGGTCTGGGACAGCAGACTGCCTTCTATGTGAGGGACAAATGTCACGGTTCTTCTCTCCTTTGCCTTTCTTCTGCCCTCTCAGGGCCACACACTGCTTTGTAGAGTTCAGCCTCTGATCTCTGGCAAGTTTCTCTCTCCTGGTCCTGACTGATCTCACTTTGGGGCAGGATCACACCTGGGATCTTGCAGGCAGGCCTTTGGCTTGCCCCAAGCACTTCTCAACATGCCTGCTTTTCCTGGAAGGCAGTGTGAGATGCCCAAACGGACCATATGGTTTGGAGTGAGAGCCTCGGAGCCCACAGACAATGGGGGAAGTGAGAGGCCCAGGTCAGTGGCAGAGCTCGCGCGGCTGCAAACCTCTCTTTCAGCCTAATGAAGCTGTTGTCTGGGGGTAATGATGCAAATGCCCCGGCCCTTTCTCGCCACGATAGTCTAGAACGTGATTTGTCATACAATCTGAATCTTTGGGAGGACTTTAGACGGAACCTCCCCCAAAGATGGAGATGAGCCATATGTGCACTTTGCATCTGAAGTGGGGGTGGGGGCAGCAGGAGGGAGGACAGAGCCCACTCTGACTTCTCAGAGCCTGCCTGACCCCACGGGGCTCATGAGTGGGTGCAGCGCCCTAGTGTCTAATGACAGATCAGCAGTGTGTGTTGGAAAAACGATGCAGAGGATCTGGATATTCCGAGTATAGTGGTCCCTGTGTCCCTCATTCCTTTTTCCCATGCTCTGTGATGACAAAGACAGGCAAGGGGCAGTTCTGGATGAAATGCTTATGTAATGCCTAGATTTTGCTGTGTTGAGTGCCCCAGGCTGATGTTATTTGCAGCCAGGGTGGACCCTTCAGTATTTCTGAAGCAGAAATAGTAAAAGAGAAGCAGGGACCAGGTGATAGGCATCCTGAGCCTGGGGCAGATGGGAAAGGAGGCACAAACCAGAGTGAGAAAGATAAGCAGGAAGAGTGTGAAAATCAGCTTCCTGCTGTGTGTGTGTGTGTGCTCTGAAGGAGAAGGTAGTGATTGCTCTTTGCCAGAAGGGAGGCAGCTTCTCATTGCCTCTGCAGCTCAGGCACTGTGGGTGCCGGCAAAGTCTGGGCACAGAAATATATTACTCATTATCAATCAAAGTAAAGCAGACTGTGTGGAAGGCATTGATCTAATGCCCCTTGTTTGCTGGACGCAGTAGAGAAGCACCAGAGCCCAGTATGACCTCAGTAATAGCAGTAACAATGGGGGGGGGGAGGATCTGTGGGATGGAGTCTGCCCTAGAAAGGGAGCAGGAGAAGCAGAGATGACATAGTCGCATCCGCCTGCCAGTAGGTGAGGCCTTTCCTTTCTGCCCGATCCTCTTTGTGCCCCCAGGCAAAGTGCCTGGCTCAGCTTACAGGGTGCTCAGAGGGTATTTGTGGAGAGAAGGGTTTTATGTGTGGGCACTGGGTGTTCATGTATATGTGTCTGCCCAGGTGTGACTGACTTGCATGTACACATGTGTGCGCATACACAGCCCTTCCTCACCTTTACAGCAAGGAGTTGGGTTGCATCTCCTCTCGGGAATTACCCCACCTTTGTAACCTGAGAGTTGGCCCACAACTAGGCACCACAGCCCCAGGCTCTGCTGGGTGCTCGGTGCCTGGCTGGCAGAGGGCTTGCTGGGTGGGTATCTGTTCACTCATTCTGTGGTGGTGTAACTTTAGGAGTTAAAATGGGATGGGATGTGAAATGGAGGACTACATACGATCTGAGGAGAGGTCCCTAATTATCCCTGCTGTCTGTAGGGGTCAGGCAAGGGCAAAGTGAAACCCTGGGCACGCCTTTACTGCCAATCATACCATGGCCACAGGGAAGTTGTAGCCAAGCTCTGCCAAAGCCCAGGCCACATGATACTCTTTCTGCTCCCTCAGATGCCCCCTGCCTCCTGTCTGGACACTGTAGGAGAGAGCGTAGGGGAGTTACTGTGGTGACAACACCAACACTCAAAGCCCTGGCCACAAGCTGCTCACCGCAGCACCTGGACACCTGTTACCACTGAGGGGTGTGTCCCAGAGTGGGGGCTGGGAGGTGGCTCTCCTGGAGTCTGGGGTGGGTTGGGGGTGGGGTGCTGGGAAGCCAGCCGGACTAGACTTTCTGCTCTTTTGCGGGCTCTGCAGAAATCTTTCCAAAGCATCCCTACTTCCTTTCCTGCTTTAACAAATACGTTTCAGCATGAGCCCTGGGAAAACCAAGGGTAGAGATGCTCAGTAGAAGTCCTCTTTACTGCGTGATGCCACCATCATCATCAACATTTGCACTGACATAAATACTGTTTCTGAACAGTATTTTTATGGAGAGACTTTGAACTTCATCCTCAATATGAATAATTTTATTAAACTTGTAAGCCTGTGCATTGTACATTTTAATCTGCCTTTCAAATATAAGGAGACTGTGGCCCAAAGAAGTTAACGTACATGACCAAGGCCATGGGGCTGTCAGACAGTAGAGCCAGAATTGGAGCCCAGGGCTGTCTGGCTTCAGCACCCATGACATTGACCACTCACCTTCTCCCTTTCTCAGTTTATGTGAACACCACTCTGTGACCAGCTCCACAGAGAGGCTGGGGACATGGGATGGAAACCACAGCTCTACTTTGTGGGGGAGGGCAGCTGTGGCAGATGCAGGTGGCAGAGGAGGTCTATTCTTGTGTGTTGGCTGGTTGCTCTTGTGGAAGAGAGCATACAGGAGACATTGTTTGGGTTTGAAGTCTGCTTCTGTCCTTGTTTTCTTGGAAGGAATTGAGAGGTCTGAGTTCCCTTTGCTACCTTGAGAAAATCCTTCTCTCACTTTCTGAATCTCAAAAAAGAATGATGGGGGGCGGTAGGATATGGAGGGGTGTTAGATGTCCTCAGAGGCTTGCAGTCTGGGGGGAGACTTCTAGGCTCCAGTAGTGCCCTCATCTGAGATCTTCGGGAGTCACCTGGATATGGGACATTAAATGTTTCCCTCTTCTCTCTGGTCTCCCTGTCTGCTTGGTGAGCAGAGCTTAGAAGGTGCCGGAGACCTGGGGAGCTGAAGCCAGTAAACTCTCTGAGTGGTGAAGGGGATGCTCTCTGTTCTTTGTCTGGTGTGGAGTTCATGGTTCTAGAGTTTGTGGGCTGTCCTGGGCTTCTTGTCCTCATGTCCCTGAAGAACTCAGCATGATCTCATCACTGAGAGACTCTAAGTGACTCACATTCATTGATTCTGTAGTTGTTCATTCAGTTCATTTATTCACTCATTCATTCATTGCTAAGATGTTAAGTCAACTTCTGAGTAGAGAAGATCATTTAATTATCCTGCTTAAAACCCTTCAGAGATTTCCCATGACACTTGGTATAAAATACCCATGCCTTTTAATTTTTTTTAAAGATTTTGTTTATTTATTAATGAGAAACACACAAGCAGAGAGAGAGAGAGAGAGAGAGAGAGAGAGAGAGAGAGAGGCAGAGACACAGGCAGAGGTAGAAGCAGGCTCCATGCAGGGAGCCCTGCATGGGACTCCATCCTGGGTCTCCAGGGTCAGGCCCTGGGCTGAAGGCGGCGCTAAACCGCTGAGCCACCCAGGCTGTGCCATGTCTTTTAATTTTTAACTCCAGTTAACAAGGCTGTGTGCGATCTGCCCCCTGCAGACTTGGGGATCTCTTGTGGGGATTCTCAGCCTCATGGGGGAGGGCCAGTTCCTTTGCCCTTTGCACACGGGTCTATATTCGGGACATTTGAATGCTCTTCAGGGCTTTGTACCTGTTCTGCCTGGAGTGCTCTCCCCATCCTGGCTCCTTCTCAGAGGAGGACCTCCTGCTGATCCTGACCAAAGCCACCTTCCATGACCCCAGAGGTCACTCTTCATCACAGCACTGACTCTACTAGCCTGTTAATGTGTGGTTAGTCTGCATATGTATTTGCTTGCTGTTCCTTGTCTCTGTCTGTCACTAAACTGAAAGTTCCATGTGGCGCAGTAACCTCTGTCCCCCAATGACTAGAACAGTGTTGGCTATGTATGTTTGGTGAATGAATGTGGACCTTGATTTGGATATATTTTAAATGGTGAAGTGCGTGTGCCTTCCTTTTGTAGATGTCTCTACCTCCTCAGCTCCAGGAAAATCTGGGCTAAAGAAAAAGTATGTCATGTATGAGTGATTTAGCTTTTACAGGGAGGGAAGCTGGGTGCTTCTGACTGGAGTGTGTCCAAGATGGGTGTTTCTCTCGGCATGGGGACATTTTCTGACTTGGCTGGACATAGCACATTTTTTCCTTGGGCCTGACTCCCCATACAATAATTTTGTATCTTGCTTGAGTCCATGGGACTCCCTGAATCACACTCTTTATGGCCAGAGGAGATTGCTGTATTTGCTAGGGTAAGAGATGTCTCTTCTCTTTATAAGAGAGATATGTGGGCATGCCTCTCTAAGCAGTGTGGGATTGGATGTGGGCAGGCTTTCCTGTCGAAAATGGAGAATGGATGACCAACCCTGGAATGCTTATGAGTTGCAGGGAAGAGGAGGATCCCCCTCAGCGCCGAGTAGGGACTACGTGGTTGCTGGGGGCAAGGTACACCTGGCCGGATGACCATCAGCAGGAAGACAGCTGGGACTGGTTCTAAGGAAAGCATCTCTGTCGCTTCCAGGAATCCACACATGCTGGTATGTTTAGGGTGGGAATGTCAGGGGCCCTACCCTCCAACAAGCCCTCAGCAGCTCTCTCCTGTTGCTCCCTTCCTTCCCCCAAATCCTGGCTCTGTCCACTGAGTACTGGCATCTAGCTGAGGGCTACGTGTGGGAGAAGACACCATTCCTGCCCTCAAAGACTGGGCAGTCTGCCTGGGAATCAGAACATGGGTGTGCAAAGCAGCCAGTGGACAGAGTTCAAAATTCAAACATAACTCTGCCTATGTGGTCTCATCCACTCAGCCAGTCATCCACCTGTCCTTTATGGGATACCTCCTGGGTGCAGGATACTTCCTGGCTGCAGTGCTTCTGGCTGCAGTGCTGGAAAACTCGAGGAAGATGAAGCTGCCCTTCTGGAATCTACATTCCAACAGAAAGAGAGACCACAGTCACAGAAATTAATCCACACCTAGGATAGCAGGTGGTAACAGGTGCTAAATAAATAGGGTGCTACTGTGGGGCAAAACAGGAGATAGCTACTCTAGCTGAGATGCCAGGGCGATCTCTGGGGAGGCGACTCAGAAGCTGAGATCTAAAGGATGAGAAGGAACCAGCCAAGGAGGGATTGAGGGGGAGAGTATTGCAGGCAGAGGCCCTAGCAAGTGTGGACTTTGGGGCAGGAACAAGCTTGTGGTGTGTGAAGAACTGATGGAGACCGGCGTATGCTGAGAAGTGTTCCCAAGCGAGGTGCAACATTTGGACAGGCAGGGCATGTCTGTGTAACATTTAGCATGTACCTCGCACATACACTGTAAACCTTGTATGTTACACCTGGTTTAATCCTCCCACCAGCTCGGTGAGGTGTGTACTGCTGTCCTCTTGTCCTGCAGAGGAGGTGGCGGAAGCTTGGACAGGTGAAGCCAGTTGCCAAAGGCCACGCGACAGGGCACGTGGTGGAGTCAGATTTTGAACATCAGTGTGATTCTAAAGCCCAAGTTTGTACCAACTAGGTGATTCGTCTCGCAGTGTGCGGGAGAGCACACCAACTGCACATACCTGCAACCTGGAAAGGGACAGAGAAGGGAGAAACCAGAGGAAACTGTAGTCATGGCCTGAGGCTGTTGGAGGATCACGTGGAGAGGTTTGTGGGTAATCGCAGGGCTGAAAAGTCCTCATTTACTCTCAGAGTCCATTGCTTTTGTAGGAGTTGGCTTCCTATGGAGTGCCTGAGCTGTCCAGAGGCAGGAAGCAGCTCCACCTGTTGGTGAAAGAGGGTGACGGTCGTCCGACCCAAGAGGACCCATGGATCCATGGTAGTGTTTGTCAGCCCCTGGGTGCAGGCCTGCCCTGGATGGGGTGGGGTGGTTAAGGGTGTGCAGGAGAACCTGGAGTCCCAGCTCTGCCTCCAGCACAGAGTGCCCAGTTGAGAGGTCCAGCTGCCTGCTCCGCCTCTCCTCACGGGTACTGGTGGATCTCAGAAAATAAATGGAAGCAGCATGTGTCAGAGGTGAAGGATCTGCACAGGCTTGAGAAACGTGGAGAGGCTCTGGCAAAGCAGCAAACCTGAGCAAGCATATGTTTTTGCATAGGCTGTTCACTGCAGTATTGTTTGAAATACAAAAGGTGGAAATGACCCATGTTAGAGGAGCCGGAAATGAAGTATGTTGCATCCATATAAAAGAATACTGTGAAGCTGTAAGAAAATAATTAAAAAAACCTTTCTAGGTACCCATGTAGAAAAGTATCCAAGGTATATTAAGAGAGGAAGACAAGGGGCGCCTGGATGGCATAGTCAGTTAAGTGGCTTCCTTTGGTGCAGGTCATGATCCTGGGGTCCTAGGATCAAGGCCCACATTGGGCTCCCTGCTGCTCAGGGAGCCTGCTTCTCCCTCTCCCTCTGCCTGCTGCTCCCTCTGCTTGTGATATTCTCTCTCTTTCTCTGTCAAACAAATAAATAAAATCTTTTTTTTAGAAAAGAAAAAATAAGGGCAGACTAACAGTATATATAGTATGCAATTACATGTGTATATATATGTATAAAATGTATATAAGTATATTGTTTTATAATATATATAAAATAAATAAATATTCATCTTGCTTGGCTAAACCTAAGAAGACTCTGAGGCATGCTTGGAAAACTGTTAACACAGTGGTTGCCTGAGTGAGCATGTGGAGATAGGAATGGGAGGGAGACCATCTGTCTTAAAATGTACCTTTGGAATATTTTTTAATTTTCAAGTTAAGTATATTATTACATATTCAACTTAGTGGTTTTAAAAAAGGAAAGTTAGAAATAAGCAAAAATAGGTTGGAATTCTGATTCCACTGCGGCTCAGCACTGCTTCTCCTCCCCTGGGCCTTTGCAGCCTTGGTTTTAGAGCTGATAAACCTTGGTGGATCAAGTGGGGTCCAGAGTTCTAGAATCTGAGAACTTTTATGGGAAGATTACCCACTGAATTGGAAGCACTGTAAACCTTGTATGTGTAAGATAACTTGTTTCTCAAAGGATTCTTGTTAGGCTTTGTTACTCCATATTTTTTTATGTTTTGATATCAAGATTCACCAAGTTGCATTCATAAGATTTTTGTACTTTGTTGTAATTAGTGATGAGTCCAGGTAGTTATTTGTTTAACTGGTGTCAAATTATTTACTGAGCACCTATTAGGTTTGGATATTGTGCTTATTCCTGGGACTGTGCTTATTCCCAGAGAAGCCTTGGTCTTAGGTTCCACCCTTGGGGGCTCACCATATAGAAGGAGAGCAGGGAGCTGTTGGGTGGCCCCCAGTTAAGGAGACACTCAAGCCTGCCTGACAGAACTAGGAAGGCTTCAGGGAGGGGGGAGTCCTTACATGGAGACTCAAAGCATGAGTGGTGGTAAGCAAACGTTCCTCCAACATATGTTTTGATCCAACATAGAGCACCAATGAGAAATGGCTGAGTTGGTTTTTTATTGTCAGAGCAAGTGTGTTTTATTTTTCAAGCACTCTATGTTCATTTCAAAAAAGAAACACATGGCTTCTGCTTCTTTTTTCTTAGCTTCCATTAAAATTACTGTAAGAACTACTTTCTCTATACTCTGGTTGCAAATAGGTGGTTGTTGCTTCCAGTTTACAGGTCATAATGCAGCTGGCAAAGCCTCTGATCTTTCCGCCCTGCCCTGCCCTGCCCTGCGGCTCCCTGCATCCTAGGCCTGGCTCTGTCCACCACAGCAGCTAAGACACACTGCACCATGACTAGTGCCAGCGCCTTGGTCACTGGGGACTCAGCTTCTTATTATTATGCAGTGTGTAGTAGGGGAGACTCTTAGGATACCAGGGTATTGATCCCCTACCAAGGCCTCATAACTAGACTGTGTTCCCTTTGTGACCTCAGTTTACCTGTTTCTGAAATATGAGGGTTGGACAAGGGGACTTGCTGAGGCCTTCTAGATCTTACCCCCTAGAACCATGATGCTGAACACATGGGAAAACTCATGACATATCCCAGGTAATGGGGTCCAGTATACTCAGGTGTGCGTGGCCTCCTCCATCTTTCTGCCACAATAAAGACAATCTTTCATCTTTACTGAGCTCAGTCAGGGACAGTGTGGCTCCTTGAAAGAACATTTGAGAGGAAGCTGGGGACAGATCTGGGTCTAGGTTGAGGCCTTTCCCCTTTCAGGCCTCAGTCTCTTCTCTTGGGTCACCAAAAGGCCGATGGATGAGGCCCTTTCTAGGTCCAGCTTTATCAGAAACATCCCTGGCCCTTCAGTGGCAGGTGTAGAGACTGCGTCCTTTAGATCTGTCCCCCCTACCCTGGAATCCTGATATGCTTTTCTGAACATCTCGTGGGAATGAATTGAAGCTGTATATATATAGATATATATACACACACACACACACACACACACATATATATATATATATCCTTAAAAAAACCCTGCCAAAATCTTAGAGGTCCCATAACTAAATTTCATGTCATGTTTAACAGAGATTCAAAGCATTCACTTATTTTTTTTAAAGATTTTGTTTATTTATTCATGAGAGACATAGAGAAGCAGAGACACAGGCAGAGGGAGAAGCAGGTACCCTGCGGGGAGCCTGATGCGGGACTGGATCCCAGGACCCCCAGGATCACGACCTGAACCAAAGGCAGACGCTCAACTGCTGAGCCACCCAGGTGCCCCTCAAAGCATTCACTTATTAAACGTAGATCAGAGGTGCCATAGCATTCTGTTTTGGTATTTTGTCCTGTTGAAGGCCTCGGTTTGGCTTTTAGGAGCTGACTTGTGGCCATGGTCCCTGGTGGGACCTGGGCAAGCCTTCACGGGGCGACTTTTCCTCCAAAGGCACAGTGTTGAAAGGGTGAGGCAGAGGAGGAGAAGGTGTCCGTGAACTTGTGGGTGAAGCCTGTATTTGGAGCGTTTCCCAGCTGTTGGGCTCACTCTGGGACTCCCGCGTCACCTCCCGGGTGCTGTGTGAGCAGCCACAAGGTGGAGCTCGGCTCCCGTCTCCCAGAGGCATCTGCTGGCTCTGGGAAGCCTTTTCCAGACTCCAGGCCTGGGAGGTGGTGCAAAGGACTTGGAAAGAAAAGTGCTGAGAAGCAGCCCCCCAGCCCCACCCGAGTCCCCTGATGGGGATGACAAAATCTCTGCCTTGAAGGAAATCCTCTCTCCTTGGCACCCGAACCAGCCCATTTGGCCCCGCCGTGTTAGGGGCTGTTTCCTTCCACCACAGGTCAGGGGATGGAAGCTTCGGTGGTGGGGGGGGTCCCCAGTTCCCAGAGGCAACCTGGGGCAGAGTCCGGCTCCCAAGTTCACGTTTTCCCCGGTACAGGTCCTCCTTGTATCATGGGGCTGTCTGTGCTTTCCCTATTAGTTGTGGTGTTGCCTCATTCCAGCAGGTGTCAGCAAACGGTGCTCCCTGAGATCATGCACTGTGGCGGCCCGTCACTGTCCCACCAGATGTGTAAAGAGGGAAAGAAAAGTATTGCTGTTAAAAAAAAAAAAAAAAAACCCTCTCTTCTTTTGAAAGAGGTAATATATGCACAGAAATAAAAGTCAAACAGTATGGAGGAGAGTCTGATGAAAAGAAAATCTCCCTCTGCTGACCCATTTGCGAGCGTCCTTCCCTGGAGGCAGCCTCTGCTACCAGTTACTTGGGGGTTCTTCCAGAAATACATGTATGTACTTGTGTGGGGAGGGAGAGAGAGAGAGAACGTGTGTATGTGTGTTTAATAGTTGGTGGTGTATTGTTTTGGATACAGAGCGCCCCAAATCCACTTGCTACCTTTCATTCCTCTACCGGCTGCCCCAGAAGCTAATCATTCTGGGCTTCATGGGGATGGAGGAGGCTCCCAGGCTGCCTTCTTTCAGCTGGGCTCTATCAGTGGCAGGCAGCAGCTGCAGGTGGTTGGTGGGAAGGGGGTGGGATTGGAGTATTTTTTCCCCCTATCTTGTGCCCTACTGGATTTCCTGTCTCAAAGGTTCTGTCCCATGATCCTCACCTTCAGCTACAGTCTGGATTGCTCCTTCAGGGCTGGGCTGCTGATGGCTCCCCACTGCTGCTAACCCCAGAGGACTGCATTATCCTACCCGACTTCCCTTAACTTTGCCCACATTTTAACAAATATTCTTCCAGGGGTGTGCTGACAAAGGTTTAATAACACACACACACACAGTCTCTCTCTTTCTTGGAAAAACCAAACCCTGGTTTGTAACATTTCCTGATTTCTGTGGTGTAAATTCTCCCACCACGGCTGGTTCCAGGCTGACTGACAATGTAGTTACTGGCTCATAAACATTCTGAAAAAGTCCCCATTGGCTCCCATGCACATCACTGCCTTTCCTTTATTGTTATCTTTAATTGCCCCGTTTGAGTGTGGCATCTATCTAAGGAGTATGGGTCAGATATTTTGTAGGGTGCCCAAAATGGATGGTTTTGGTAATAATATTCTATCAAACTTCTCTCCAAAACAGCTGAACCATTGCCACCTTCTGATCCCAGGATCCTTGAGCATGGTTTTTGCATATAGTTGGTTGATTAGGGTTATAAAGAAGAGATAGTCTGGAGTACTGTTTTTTTTCCGGGGAAGGAGGGCAGAGAACATTTGTTTGGAAACAGTGTGTGTGGGTACATCAAAGAGAAGGAGGAAAGTCTCCCACCTTCGCATCTCTGTCTAAGCTCCAAGTCTGTAGATCTTCTCTTCAGTGGGGCCCAGGGTTTGGAGAGGAGTAGGGTTGTGGGGGGTTGAGGCTGGAAGAACTTGGACCAGAGTCCAACGAATTTAGCTTCACTGTGGCTTTGCCACTTGCTGGCTGTGTCATTCTTTAGAGTTCCTGAGTTTTGGGTGTCACATTTGCTCAATGGGGGTGAGCATTCCTCTTCTCCAGAAAGTTTGACTATTCCATAAAAGAAAGCATGTCACATGTCTCAGGGAGGGCCCCGCACGTTTCAGCTGCTCTACAAGTGAGAGTTTTTGTGGTGGTGGTGATGATGATGATTGGCCCATAGTAGAGTTTGGGGCCCAGAGAAGGCAAGAGGTCTTGCCTTTAGAAGTTGTTTATTCTTCACAGAGCTGGTTTAGCCCTTCTACCTGGAAGGGTGTGTTTGGAGAACCCAGGCACCTAAATCTGTCTTTGGCTTTTATTCCCCTCCACTCAGGATGTGTATGCTCTTTTAGGACAAGCACATTCAGCCAGCTTCCACCGAGTGGCTTCTTCAGAAACCTGCCTGGCACCTTATATTGAAGGAATGCAGTTGAGGCTTGTTTGTGAAACTATAACATATGTATTTCTTTGTATTTAGAAACTTGATACATATATATATATTTGAATGTATTAATGTTTTTCAGAAATGAAGGTTTCAAGGTTCTGAAAACCAAACTGGTTCTAACAGAGTGGGGTAGAAAGTGTGGACTGCGCAACTCCTGAAAATCTTCCACTGACAGTTCGTGAACTTGCAAGAATGGTGTTGAGATGTGGAGGAGAAAAGGGATCCAACATTTCTTCCGGGGATTAAAAGTGAGTCCAGAATTGCAAGGACTCGGGAGAAAAAGGCTCTTGTTGAGCAACCCTTTGAATAACCGAGCCCCTTTCTCTCCGAGCGCTAAGTGTTGAGATGCAGCGTCCTTACTGCCTAGAAACCCAACAAAGACTGGCTTGGTGGTTGCTTTGAGGTTTCTGTTCTATGTAGAATTTTAACCATGAAAAGACACAAAGATTGGTTTCTTCTGAGTCCTTAACTGAACACCACAAAGAAGGACAATTAGCGGGGAGCTGGGCTGCTGTCTCCCACCAGCTATGCTGCTGCCGTCCGGAACCCCTCCAGGAGCCACGTGAAGTATGCCACCCAGCCCCTCTCTGCCTCTAGTGTTTGGAAATGTGCCACAGACTCAACCGTCCAGGTATGGAGATTGCTGGGCTCCAGAAAGGCCATGTGCTGTGCTGTCGAGAGAATGGGTCTTTATCTGTAGCCTTGTTGTGTCACTTGCTGCAAGTCCTAATCTGTAAAATGGGATAATCCTGGATTGAAGGCCTGCTCTGAGAATGAGGTGAGAGATGGTGGATAGTGTTGGCTTGAAGTATGGGCCCTATAATGGTAGTCATTTATTTAGTATTGTCATTCTCCCCATTCCAGGCGCTATGGCACACCTGTCCTTCTCCCTGACTTTTAGAGACCTCCAGACCATTCCCAGCTCCTTATCGTCTGCTGTACCCAAGGAGGTCTCCATGATTTTTCCTATTCGTCTTCTTGTTACACATGTGGATAAGAGGCCATGCCTCTGACCAGGAACAAACGTCTGCATCTCTCTGAACTCAGCTTTTGCAGAAATGAAGGTGTAGTGAGCTCTCTCCCCAGGGATTACTACGAGAGTTAATGTAGACAGTGGAAACAAAGGACGTGGCTCAGTGCCTGACCTCTGGCAGATGCTGATAAAGGCCCTTTCCTTGGCCTCCACCTGGAACCTGAGATGGAAAGGACAGAGTCCTTCCCACAGAGGCCGTGTGCTGACTATACACATAACTCAGGTGACTTTCTCGTTGCCTCACCTGGTTCATGGAAAGTAGCATAGTGAGCATGTGTGTGGACTTTGTGTCAGGACTCCTGGATTCAAGTCCTTTGTCACTTCCACCGAAAGGTATAAATTTCTCCAAACCTTGGATTACACATTTATGGAAGGATTTATAAAGAAGTCCATAACATTTAAATTGTTCCAGGGTGAAATGATGTAAAGGATGTAAAATGTATAACGCACAATAAGGATTCGGTAAATTATTGCTGGTATTCAGCAAGTGTTTGAGTAAATATTCCTTTTCTTTCTTTCTTTTTTTTAGAGAGTGAGAGAGCAGGCGAATGGGGGAGGGGCAGGGGGTAGAGAGAGAGAATCTTTTTTTTTTTTTTTTTTTTTGAGAGAGAGAATCCTAAGCAGGCTCCATGCTTAGATGTGGGGCTCAATCTCAAGATCATGATATCATGACCTGAGCCAAAATCAAGAGTCTGATGCCTAACTGACTGGGCCACCCAGGTGCCCCTGAATAGATATTTCTGCAGTTGGTGTATGAATAGGTTGCCTGGTTATGCATGTGTAATAACATTCAATTGTATCCTAACCTTTTGAGTTTGTTTATTGATTTATTTACGCCTGTTGTAAATAATGCTGCAGTGAACATCTCCATGTGAGCATTATTTTCCTTGATTGGAATTCTTTTCTTGGGATGGACTCCTAGAAATGGTTTTGCTGGCTGAAAGGGTTTATCCAGCAGTTCCTGAGGATATTTCTGTATTGCCATGCAGGCTGCAAAGAGAGCTTTGACAGTAAAAAATACTCAGTAAAAGTTCTATTATACTCAGCAACCACTTCTTTTTGACGCTTTGGTGGAGATCTTCCCCGCTCACCTTGTATTTTAATCTGTTAGCGATCCATGGCTTTAAGATTTATTATGTCATGTAATTATTTCATTCAAATTTAATAGAGCTGGCATTCGTAGTTTTGCTTTCAAAAGCCTTATTATAAAGTCAACGTAAGCATCATTTATTTTGTGCAACTGGGATTAATTCTTTTTTTCTCTTTTACTTTTATTGATGTGTAATGTCTCTTGATGACAAGTGACAGAGACCCGACTCTTGCTTCAGAAAAACAGAACGAGTTGGCTCCCGTATGGGAGGAGAGAGTGGTTGCAAGTTCAGGCAGAGTTTGATCCAGGGGCTAACCATGTAGCTTGTAGTCCCGGCACTCCATTTCTCAGCTCTGGTTCCTTCTGTGCCTGTCTGCTTTGTGCTCGGGCAGGTTTTCTTTGAACGACCCCAAACATGCCCCGCGGCGCCCTGAGTCCGCATCCTCATAGCTCCTGACACGAGACGAGACGTGAGAAGCCTCTTTCTCCGGCTTCTCCTAGTACATCTTGTCAAGTCCCTGATTGGCTTTCTTGGGTCAGGTGTCCGCGTCTTGGCCAATCAGCGTGCTGGGGGTGGGCGACGCTGGGCTCTGATTGGTCACCCTGGATCGGGGGGCCGACGCTGCTGCGGTGGGTCACGTGCTCGCGGACGTCGTGGTCCACAGCCCCCCCCCCCCCCCCCCAGGCTTCACCCGCTGAGGAAGGGGCCTCCAGAGGGAAGAGAGAGAGGCCGGGAGGTGTTACCGCGGACGGGGTGGCTCAGGCCTGCGAGCTGCGAAGTCACCACCAGATGGCGCGCCCGCCCTTTCTCCTTCACGTGAGCGCCGGGTCTTCCCTGGGTCTTTTCTTCCCGCCTGCTAACCCACGACGGGGACTTTAGGGGCGCTCCTGCCTGATGGTTCCCAGAAGCATTAAGACCTCGCAGCCCGAGTAAGAGGAGCAGGCCACGGTGGGGCTTCGGTGCCACGAGGGGGGCGTGCATGGAAACGTGGCGCTGCGTGGACGGAACTGGTTCCGCGCACGGACGGCGGTGTTCCCTCACCGTCTTAAGCCTCTTCCCCTCGGCCTGATTCCTCGGTCTGAAAGCTCTGTGAGTTCGGTCCAGACCCCGTTTCTTGGAAAAGGAGTGTCTGAGTGTGGTCAGGAATGTTTGCGGAAAATCCACGCCAGAGGCTTCTCGAACCTTCTCCGTGCCACCCCTGAGGGGGCCGTGCTGAGGAGGGCGCTGAGGGGCGGGAGGGGGCACCCTGGGAGAGTTCCCCCCACACACACCCCAGTGGGCTCAGGTGGACGGTGGTGTGGGAGGGATACAAACGCCACCCTTCGGGGTCAGTTTCCAGCGATGTGGGTGAATGGGTGTCACGGTGTTCGCGCCAGCACGATCCTGACGGCTGGGGACAGGCACCTTCTGGTCATGAGTGGACGAAGGGGCGGTCCTCATGTTCCATAGGGTAGAACAAGTGCTCCAAAAGAACTTGAACTTCAGGGCTCGGCTACGTGACCCCTTTCCTTGCTGTCCTTTTAGTCATAAAACATGTGCTCTGCGCCAGGCACTCGCCCAGGGGCTGGGAATTCAGAGATGAGACCTGTTCACCATGATCAGAGATCCCACAGCTCAGGTGGAGGGACAGACATGTCTAGGAAAAGATGCCACTCGGTGTGGAAAATAGTGGGGCTCTGACAAGGCCTGGGTCAAAACCCTGACTGGGCTCCTCGGTACCTGGAGGACCTTCTACAAGTGACTGACTCTTCATCAGGCTCAGTTGTGTTTTGTTTTTAAAGATTTTATTTATTCATGAGAGACACACACAGAGAGGCAGAGACACAGGCAGAGGGAGAAGCAGGCTCCATGCAGGGAGCTCCACGTGGGACTCGATCCCGGATCCCAGGATCACGCCCTGAGCCAAAGGCAGATAGATGCTCAACCGCTGAGCCACCCAGGCATCCCTCAGTTTTGTTTTATAGAACAGGGATGATAGTAGAGATGTCAGTGCCTAGTTCATAGAGTTGATGTGAACATTTAATGAGAACACCTGTAAGGCACTTTGCCCCGAGCTTCACACAGGGAGATGTGTAAGTCTTATTGATCGCCTTACCTTTGGATGGGATTTGCAAGTGTCTCAAGGCTGAGAGACAGAATTAATACAACTAGGTGACAGGATGTGAACTCCAAAGATTCCCGAAAGGTTTAGAGTGTCAGGGAAGAAATGAGTGAGACTAAATATAATTGGGATAGATGTACGGTGGCGAGCTTAGGTTTAAAAGGTCAGTTGGTCAAACACAAGGTTGGAGTGGGAGTGCGTGGGCCACAAAACTCTGCTCTTGCATGATGACACCTTGGGGAGTGGTTAAATGCCTGCCTAATGGGTGTGATGAGGTGGCTAAGAACTGTAGCTTGGACTTAGGAGGCATTATTAAAAGCACAATGTACCAGATAAAGGAAAGGAGCTGCAGCCGTGCCAGGAGGTGGTTTGGGCAGGGCGACCTGGATGGCAAATGGCCTGGAAGCCATCACCTCGAATAGCTGAGAGGATGCACAGGTTTAGCCGGGAGAGGGTCAGGCATGTCACAGCATGGGTCTGCCTTCTGCAAATGTTAAGGTTTGGCACCTGAAAAAGGTGTCATGCTACCACTGTTTTGCTCCAAAGATAAAACTCAGGAAGCATCCTTTAGTATCCTGGTTCAAGAAAGGATTGTACAACCTTTTAGCACTGTTCCAACCACAGAGTGAGCTGCTTTATGAGTTGTGGGGTCCTGGTAGCAGAAGCACCCAGGCAGCCGCTGGATGCGTCATCTGGGATGGTCTAAGGCAGGGATTACCCACATAGAATATAAGGAATCATAAGGATGCCTTTCGGGAATCCCAGAATCTCCTGAAATCGCTTGTAAAATTGTGCATTTTTTTTCAGGGAGAAGGAGGCATAGCATTAATTAACGTTTCTGGGGCAGGAGGTGGGGGGCAGCATTGAAAAGCAGTTTAAAAATACATAACATAATAATAATAAAATAATAAAAATAAAATAATAAAAGAAATTTAGCTACTGCGTGCAAGGTGGGACTAGATTTTAAGGTGTATTTCCCCCCAGATGTAAGTCTTTGCTGAATTGTTAAATATATTCTTGTATCATGAAATTATTGTTATTTATTATTAGCTGTCAACTTACTGTATGCCTATTATTACCAAAGAGAGTTCTACATATTTACTTGAATTATTTCATCTGTTTTAAGAAAATTCTTTGAGATCAAGCATTATTATTATTCCTATTTTATAAGTGATGAACTGAGGTGTGGAAATTCACACCAAGTTCCAACTTCTTTTCTTGGTAGATATGTGCTCCCACATCTGACCTTTTTATGCCAAGTAAATGTCATGTTATGTTGGAAATTTTAAAGGTAGGATGGTAGTAATCGTGTATTGGCTTTTTACTTTCTGTGTTGAGACATCTCATTTAATGCTCACTATAGCCCTATAAAGTTGGGCTTGGGGAGGAATTAAGTCACTTGCTCATGGTCACTCAGCTTTTAAGGAGAGGAGTCAGGATTTGAATGGGCCCATCTGGCTCACAGCCTGCATTCTCAGCTCTGCAGACACTTTGGGCTGGGACTCAGAGTGGGGGCTCAGGCCCCTTCTGTGTATTTATCCCGTGAGGGACTGTTTGAATAGATGGAGAGGTACAGAAAACCCCCTAAGGATCTGTGGCGGGGCATGGTAGGCAGAGCAGCAGCTGGACATACCCTGAAGCCTCAGGAGCGGGATGCCAGCCCAAGGGCTAAATGTGGAGAGGACAGCTGAGTCAGTGAGCCTGAAGGACTCATGTGCCCCCCCCCCCCCGCAGCTGCCATAGCTCCAGGTGGCTCAGCAAAGTAAGGTTCAGCATACCCTGTGTCTCGGGGCTGTGCCCTCTCTCTCACCGGAGCTCTTTCCAGGCTCAGAGAAGGAAGCAGGTCAGCAGCCTCATGGCAGGAAAGCACTCCAGAGGGCAGTTGGAGGGGAGATGTTTTCTGAACTGATGTGGTGGGAGGGACTGCACCTTCAGGTCTGCAGGGTTTCCTCAATCTTCCTGATGGGCTTCAGCCCTCTCCAGGATCCCTGAATCAGAAGGATCGGAATAAGGTGTCCAAGGCCTATATCCCATTACCTACTCCTCTGTAGTAGCTAATCCCCCACTTAGTGTATGCCAACCAAATTGTCAAGGAGTGATTTTCCTCAGTCCTCTGGGAAGTACAGCTGCTTGGCTGATTTGCCTCTCTGAAACCAGAATCTGATCCTCCCAATTGTCTGGGAGTCTCCTGTGAATAGACACAGTGAGGAGGATAGGGGTTTTGATTTGTGTCTTCATTGA